GCCCGCGCCCACGGTGCGGCAGTGCCCGGGGTCCCCCTCCCAGCGTGCGGCAGTGCCCGGGGGCCCCCCTCCCAGCGTGCGGCAGTGCCCGAGGTCCTCCGGCATGCAGTGTCCTCACCTGAGAGGCCAAAGCAGACGGCCCCCACCCGGAGCAGGAACTCCGCCCCTTTGCTGATCACCATGATGACACAGAGGCACCCCAAGGCCATGGCTACCAGGCCCAGCACTGCTACCACCGCGGCCGCCAGATTCACCTCTGCAGGGAGGCAGGGCAGGGCAGGGCAGAGAGCACAGGTGGAGGGCGCGGGCAGGGCCCCGAGCAGGATGGGGGTCAGGAGAGAATCACCTTTGACTCCTACTGCTGAAGGCCCAGGGTTCAGAGAGGGTAACTTATTTGCCTAGGGCCACAGAGCAAAGCGGGCAGAGCCGGCATTCTGGTCGAGGTGGGGGTTACCGACGGCGACCGTCACGGCGAACCCCCGGCCCTTCGGCTTCTCTCTCTGAACCCCTGCGTGGTGCCCCGTACGGGTGGTGGATGACTGCTCTCCCCGCGGTGGCTGTCCTGAGCTCACACGGCACACGGGCAAGGGCACCGGCGGGCAGGGGAAGAAGCCTGCCTATCCCCGGGCCTGCGGTGGCCCGGGTGCCACGTTTCAGAGGCGTCATCTCATGGTCCCCTCACCCAAACCAGACAGGGCACGCATGACCACGCCCCTGGCGGTGGAGACACCGAGGCACCGGGGTGGCGGGAGGACGGGCTTAGCCGTGGAAGTGCGGAGCCTTCAGAGCTGCACCGCCCGGGACTGCAGCCACGGCGGTAGTGGCCTTCTCATTTTAAATCGATTGAAATGAGACAGACGTGAGACACAGCTCGGTTACACCAGTCGCATTCCGAGCCCTCAGGAGCCACACGTGGCCGGTGGCTCTCACGTGGCCGGTGGCTCTCACGTGGACCAGCACTGGGGCTGGCTAAAGACCCCATCTGGGTGCCCGTCTCTCGGCCTCTCTCTCTCTCTCTCCCATGAAAAAATAAATAAATAAACTTTTAAAAACTAACCCTCCTCCTCCACTGCGGTGGGCCCACCACACAGCCCGCCACGGGTGAGGGCCTCACCTTTCTTCGTGGTTCTCTGGAATATGTGCGCGTTCTCCCCCGTGGTAAAGAATTTAAAGTAGGTGCAGTTTGCCTCTGTGGGAGCAGAAGAGACAAAGGTGTTGACGTGAGGTGCCTCGGGCCAGGGGTCAGCGGGGGGCTGGACACGTACCCCCGCACTCCTGGCAAACAAGGAGAAAGAGGCTCAGAGCGGACAGCCCCTGCTGCACGCCACCGTGCGGGGCTGGCGGTTCCAGCCCAAATCTTTCAGGCCCTCTGGCCCCCACTGGGCCATGAACGTCCCAGGCTTGTCATCCTCCCTCTCTAAAATGAGGTAAAAATCGCTCTTCTGCCAGGAGGCCGACAGGCTCAGAGAGGACTCCTTGCCCAGGGAGCCCGCACCTGGAACACACAGAGCTCCGAGCGCCCCACTGAGAAACGGGGAGGGCGGGAGGGCTGAGCTGTGATTCAGAGGGAAGAAAGCTGGGAGCCTCCCAAGGATCAGAGAGATGCCCACTTCCCGGGTCGGAGAAATGCAGCCTCAGCCAGCAGGAACCACTTCCGATCAATGAGACCGGTGAGTGGTGAAAGGATGACCTCAGGCGCTGGGCGGGGAAGAGGAGCAGCCGGCGGGCCGTCCTGGGCAGTCCGGAACCTCCGTGCTCTATGGCTCTATGGAACGAAGTGTGTGTACAGCCTCGGATTCGACAATGTGGCTTCCGGGTGTACCCAGGAAAAGTAAAACAGCAACGCGTACCGAAGCATGTATATACACGGTTTGCTGCAGAACTGTTCATGGGTGACAGGGAGTCCCAGTCCACCCTCACGCCCGCCTCTAGGGAAGCAGACAAGCCAGTGCGACGGGCGCGCTCGCTGGGGATCTCCGCGGCACACGGCAGCCGTGGGCCAGGATCACGGGGAGGAAGAGGCGGAGAGCTGAGCAACACGGTGTGGAGCAAAGACAGACGGACAAGGCAAAAGGGTCAAAGGGGGTGGGGCCGACAGGTGGCATGCTGGTTAAGGCGCTGGACTCCCACACGGCTAATTGCAGTTCAAGTCCCAGACCTGCTTTCTCCGTTGCCCTCTCTCTCTGGTCAAATTAACAATAATAATAATAATAAATAAAATATTTTTTATTTTAAAAATTAAAAATTAAAACTTAAATTTAAGAATTCAAGGACCAGGCAGTGGCATGACGGTTGAAGCAGCGGGATTCCACATGCCGGCTACACAGCTGAGTCCCAGATCTGGCACATGAGAAATGTCAGGAGTGTATGTGCGGGGCCTGAGAGTGCAGGAGAGGGGCGTGCAGTATGGCCATCCTTCCTGGGGGTGCGTTCTCATTCTCTCTCTCCCTGCCCCCCACCCCCCACTGCAAGTGCATTTGTGCCCTGTAGCAAAAATGTAAAAAAAAAAAATTTCAAATGCAGGACAAAATCTATAGCATGATGTGATTTTACGTAAAATGCACGCACACACATAAACACTATATATTTTCTTTTTGTTCTTTTTTTAGTGGTTTTTGCTATAGGGTGAGTGCCAGAAAGAGACAGAGAGACAGAAAGTGAGAAATCAGCCCCCGGGGGGATGCCACACCACAATCCCTTCTCCGCCGTTCTCCTCTCGGGATCTTGGGCACACACGCACACGTGCCCGGCGTGAGTTTAAGCCGCCGGGCCCAGGACTCGAACCGTGGTCGACTACATGGGAGTCCAGCAACATAGCCATCTGCTGGTCCTAATACTATATATTTTCTAAGTCGATATATATGTTTATGGCTGTATATCAAACACATTAAAGAAAGTAATTAGAAAGAAATGAAAAATTCTTAAAGCTAATAGAAGGGGAATCCTCAAAAAGTTTGTGGAAAGTGCATATTATGAAAATTATGCATGGATTTTAATTATTTCACCAAAATAAACTCATACTTTAAGTCCATCTTTTCATGGAATTTCTAAACCACCTCATAAAACAAAGCATGAAAAGCCTCATAATAGGCCCGTGGTGCAGATGGAGGTTCACTCCAGGCCATGTTCCTGAGGCCCAAGAATCTCTAAACACAAACAAAAGCCTTTTTTGTTTTTAGAGAGAGAGATTTTTGCTATAGGGCACATGCGCTCACCAGAGAGACAGAGACACAAAGCGAGAAATCACCCCCCAGGAGGATGGCCACGCCGCAATCCCTTCTCCTCCGTTCTCCTCTCAGGATCTTGGGCATGCACACACGCGCCCGGTTTGAGTTTAAGCTACCGGGTCCAGGACTCAAACTGTGGTTGGCTACATGGGAGTCCAGCGACATAGCCATTACGCCAACTGCTGGTCCCCAAAAGCCCTTTTTAGAGTGCATTTCAGAGACGGAGCTTCCCTCAGAAGTCTTCTGGTCTGAGCCTCTCTGTCTACAGGTTGGGGAGCTGGGCACCCGCCGCAGGAGAGGCAGAGAATCATGGGGTGAAGGACGCAGGGCAGGCACCAGGCAGTCTGAGGAAGTGGGAAACGAGCTCTCCAAGTTGAAATTGAAGGAGGTGAAGGGGCGAGAGCTCCACCCGAGACACTCCCCCGGGGCCCTGAGAGGAGGAGAAGGTGGCGAAGGCCAGTCAGGCCAGGGAGGCCAAGTCCTCGCCCTGCAGCTACGAGGCTAATGGGGAAGCCTGTGGCTGGGGGGGGGGGGGGTCAGGAGGGGACGTGTCCGGCATCCACAGGGAAGGGGTGAGTCCCTCTGGGACAACGTAGGGTGTCTGGCATCCCAGTTGGTCTGCTCATAATCGGGGACATCCTGGAGCCAGTGGGTGGCGTGGTGGTTAAGGGTGCTGGACTTCCACATGGCCAACCTCGGTTTGAGTCCCAGACCTGGAGGCTCTCGTTCTCACTTTCCCTCTCTCTCTTTCTATGGTTAAATTAAAAAAAAAAACGTAATGAACTTTTTTATTTTTTTTTAATTTAGGATATCCTGCCTCTTGACGGGGTCAAGACATAAAGGACATAGCTGTCCCATCTGGAAAAGAGTGTGTGGGTCCCCTCCTTGTAGCCAAGGGAGATATGAGGTGCCTTGGACGGGCCATGGGCAGCGGCACCGAGGTGTTCTCTGAGGGGTTGGAGGGTGGGGTGGAAATGGTCCCGTAAGGAGGTTGAAGTCCTTCTCGACCAGACAGACAGAAGGGGGCGCCCGTCTTACGCGGGTGGGAAGGGACCCCCCTCGGTGCAGTGAGGACCTGGGGGGGGGCTCTGCGTGGCCTGGTAAGACGCACTGCAGGCAGCCAGGAGCAGGCCCGGCCGGCTAGCCCGGGCCGGCTGTGCCGCCCGGAGAACTCAATATGAAAACAGTAATTTGTTCTTGAATTTCAGACTAAAGTTTGTGGACACAATGTAGATTGGCTTGCTATTTTATTTATTTATTTTAAGAGGCTTTGGCCTTAGGGCACATGCACTCTCCCCAGGAAGACAGAGAGACAGATATAGAGAAAGGGAAAGTGAGAAAGCATCCCTCAGGGGTTGACCACACTGCAGTCCCTTCTCCTCTATTCTGTTCCCAGGATCTTGAAGATGCACACAACACACATGCCTAGCATCAGCTTCAAACCACTGGGTCTGTGACTCGAACCACAGTCGACCATGTAAGAGTCTAGCGATGTAACTGCTACAACATCTGCTGCCCCCAGCTTGTTATTTTATCTATAGATATTGTTTGGGAACCACTTAATCATGAATGCAACCTTTTCATTGTTACTTTTAAAGTATTAACTGTAAAATTCTGGTACGAGCTCCTGTCTTCGATATATTTATTCATTTTTATTTAAATCATAGAGTTGAGAATGTATTAAGCATAGTTTCCATCTGAAGAGAATGAGGCGTATGTTTCCTTCCCATCTGGGCCTTGTTCACTATCCACTCATTTATCTACTCTATATCCTATCCAAAGTCTTTTTCTGCATGCCTGTAGCTATTGAAAGGTCCCCAACATCTGGAAAATAGCTCTTCACATGGTCCTGCTCTTGTGTCTTCCTACTTCTCATATACAAGGCCATTTTATTTCTTTTCTTCCTTCCACTCATGATTGGTAACAGCTCAAAAAGACAGTTATTTCTTATTTCTTTCCCTTTAGTATCCAGACTTAATATGACCGAAATTATGTTGAATTTCAGTCTCATTGTCTCTCAAATTGTCTCCCACTTTCCCTTTTTCTCACTCCCACCCTGGCCATACTTCACACATCACAGCAGGGTACAGCTGCTCTCTCCGACTCCTAGAATTTATGCGAAAGGACACCCATAGTCATCAGATCACCATTGATAGACTCAAATCCGTAATTTTCAGCTAGCAATTAGGGTCCTTTGCAATCTGAGTCCCATTGTAATAGTAATGTCCACTTATTATGGGCTTAACACATTTATTATTTCTTTTCTTGCCTGAGAGAGAGAGATGGGGAGGGGCACCCTACCAGGGTCTCCTTCCCCAGCTTTTCCGTCAGTCGTGGGCACACCCATGGACTCACGTAATGTTCTGTTCAGGCTGACCTGCAATCCAACTCTGGACCTTCCCATGTGGCTACTCTCATGCCTACTATGCCACAGTAATGGGACTGCATACATTATTTCTAATTCAAGATTTGTTAAAGTGTATTTACTTTTTTCTCCCATGAATGACAGAAGCACCGCTAGGCTTCATGCCATGATCCACTCTACATTTCAGCTAGTCCAGATCCTGGAGGCACATGTGCCTGCAGTGTTGAGGGAGGTCTCCCAGTGAAGACCTGGCCCCTCCGCATGTGGGTCAGCCTCATGCCACCACTATCCAGCCCCCTAATTCATGATTTTTACAATAATCTTAGTTCATATATAATATCGACCTTATTCTTTTTAAAAATTATTTATTTATTTTTTTGAGAGTTTTTTTTGCTATAGGGCATTTATGCTCGCCAGAAAGAGAGAGAAAGAGAGAGACAGAAAGCAAGAAATCGCCCCCCAGGGAGGAGGGCCACGCCGCAATCCCTTCTCCTCCGTTCTCCTCTCAGGATCTTGGGCATGCACACACGCGCCCGGTTTGAGTTTAAGCTACCGGGTCCAGGACTCAAACTGTGGTTGGCTACATGGGAGTCCAGCGACATAGCCCTTACGCCAACTG